GTCCAAAAGAGAGAGAGAGAGAGAGAGAGAGAGAGAGAGAGAGAGAGAGAGAGAGAGATGGACTTTTTCAACAACAACAACAACAACAACGACAACGGCATATCATACTTTTTCTCAAAAAAAAGCCATCATTCCATTGCCATTTCATAACGCCAAAAGCGCCATTGGATAATGCCTGCCAGACCACTATGCGATACACGAGCAACCCCATGTCCCATTTTTTTCATCTTCACTTCAACGCAGCCAGGTACACCATCTACGAAACCACGCTAGTGCATCTTTGCCCTACGCGCCTTGCCCGGCCGTTTACTCGCGCCACCACCACCGGCACCACCGGACTTGCCCTTCATTTTGCGGACGGAAAAGTCCCGGACGTCGGCACTTGACTTTGCGTCGTTGCTCTTTGCATGGCGCTTCTTGCCGCCAAAGCCGTACTTTTCGTCTTTCTTGTGGCGCTTGGCGTTGAAGGGCTTGCTGCCGTCGGCGGGGCCGCGGCCGCGACGGCTGGGCTTGGAGTCGTCGTCTGCGGTGGCGGCCACGTCGAAGAGGTCTTCTTCGTTGGTGGATGTAATGTCTGCGCCTTGTCGCTCTGCGCCGTGGCGTTAGTATGCGCTCCTAAATCAATCATTTGCAAATACGTACTTCGCTTGAGCGTGTTGATTTTGTCCATGGTATCCCTCTTTTCCTTTGCGCGCTCCTGCATCTTGGCGACCTGGACTTGTTTGCCGAATTTCTTCAGGTCGCGCTGCTTCCGCGCCTCGGCTGCCGCCTTCTTGCCCGCTGCCGCGTCAATCAGCTTCTGCTTGATCTTGCCCATGTGCTCGTCGCTCTTGACCATCTCTGCAAAGTAGTCGGCCGGCCGCGAGAATGGCACACCCTCCTTCTTGAGCATTTGCCGCGCATCCTTGACAGACGAAAGACACTGCTTGTAGAATGCGAGCTCACGGTTGAGATCATCCTCGACGTCGGCAATCTCGACGGGCTCGTCGGTGGTTACGGATTGGTACTCTGAAAAGGCAAGCTTCGAGTAAGGCAATTGTATTCGGTGCAGCGCTGCGGTGAGGGCGGCGGTGTTGTTAATCGTGAGACGCTGGTGGGGGATAATGTCGCCCTTGTCTTCCGAGGCAATGGAGTCGAGATCGGAGAGCGCAATGTCTTCCTCCTCTTCCTCCTCATCGCCCTCTTCCTCGTCCTCATCCGAGCTAATGTCGCTTTCGCTGTCGTCGAGGTGCGAAAGGTCGAGCGCAGGCCGCTTAGATGCGTCGTCGTCGCTGTCGTCCTCTTCATCGTCATCGCTACCATCCGTCTCCCACTCAGGCTCCTTGACCGCAGGCGCAGACTTTGCTTCCTTGTTGCTCTTGTCCGACTTCTTCGCCTTGCCATTGAGCTTGGCCTCTACCTCGTCCAACGGAACAGCGACTCCCCCCTCCTCAGCATCTTCCTCGTCGCCGTCCTTCTGCGCCTTGGACTCCGCGCCCTTTTGTTTCCGCTTGTGAACCTCCTTCTCGTGCTTGCGCTGCTTCTCAAGCTTGATGTTGCGACCTTGCTGATTGATCAGCGCAGCCTTGAGCTTACTTTTCGCCATATCGCCGAGAGTGCAATGCAGCCCCGCGCGCGCGCAGTAACAATTCGTGAATATAATTAAAAAGAAAAGACGTGCGATATGTATATGTGTAGGCGGAGACGAGTGTCAAAGCTTGGCCCAAAAATTAATTCAACGACCTGCCCACAGGCCCTGGGCGCAAGAACATTTTTAGCGGCGGCGCTAAAAGCGCTGACCGCCTACCAAAGAGGCAAGAGGCCGCGGCGAAGACCACGTGCTTTCGTGTGCTTGTCCCTCCTCACCGCACGCTCCGCAGCCTCGTGTCATGGCGGCTTGTCTCACAGTCGCCTTTTCGCCGGACAGTCAAACCCAAAATTCCTGATTCCCACACACACACACTCTCTCTCTCGTTGTCGCCCCGCACTACACTACCCGCAGCAATGACGACGCCCCAGCCGCTCGGGGACCGCTCACAGAGCGACTCGGCCGTACGTCTCGAGGAGGCTGCCTGCATGCCATGCCATGCCGACTAACACCCCCCGCAGTCAGTCAGTTCCAACAACCCCGAAGCGTCGGGCGAGCTTACAGCCGTTGTGGACGATCTGCTCAATCAACTCAATACCAAATTCAACAGCATCAGCAGCGAACTGCTTTCCAAGAGTAAGGGGCCGCCGGCCCAAAGTGCGATGTGAGCTGACGATATGTATAAGTGGATGACATGTCGCGGCGGCTCGATAACCTGGAGGCTACTATTCAAGGTGGCGATGGCACCAAGGGCTCCGGCTCAGGGAAGTGATTGACTAGTCACGGAAGATGTGTGAATAGAAGCGCAGGTCGCAGGTTTCACCGTCATGCACGTTGAGTAGCCAATGGTATAGATTTACAGCATTTTCAAATTGGGTATTGCTTGGGTTCGTTTCACTGAATGACCCATGTCGCTCGCTCTAGCATTTCTTCATGGCGCTCTTGCGCCACATGCATCCTCGTCCTGCTCATCCTATTTGTCATGACGCATCTGCATCAGTACCAGTGGTATTCATATGTACCAGCGGTATTCATATCATCATTGCGATCCATCCGCAGACGTCCAAGTCGTCTACAACTCCGACTTCTCCTCAGTTTCACCCGTGAACTTCTTGAGAATGTTGCTCCTGCTCATCAGGTCATCCATCTTCTCCGGGGCGAGGTTGCCCTTGGCGATGAGTCCTTGCAGACGCTTGAGCTCCTTCTCGGCGTAGTCCGTGTTGGCAGCAATCTTCTCAAAGACCTTGACGTAGTACTTGGCGTACTTGTCCTCCAGCGTCGCCGCAACGGTCTTGGCCTCCTTGACACCACCGGCCCACGAGCCCTGGAACTTCTCAATGATGCTATTGAATGCCTCAATGGTGCCACCGGTAGCATCGAGACCACCACCAACAGCGCGGTGTGTGCCCGTGTTTGTGTTGAGGAACTCAATAAAGGCCTTCTCGTCGCGGGCGCCAGTGTATGGGAGAGGCTCGGTGGAGCCCTTGGGGAAGTATTTGATCGTGGGGTACGACGAGATGCCCTGTTCCTGAGCGAGGGCCTTTGCGTTCTCGGCTTCGGCGTCAACCTTTGCGATGAGGACATTAGGCTCGTTGATGAAGTCGTTGGCGAGCGTCTCCCAGATGGGGGCGAGCGTCTTGCAGTCTGTCGAAACATTAGCTCGAGTCATTCGGGTGGACTGGAGGTATAGCAACTTACGTCCGCACCATGGAGCAGTAAAGGCAACAAGCACGTGCTGGTCCTTTCCAACCTTCTCCTTGAAGCTCTTGTCGTCCAGGAACACAATCTGGCTAGGAAGCTTGCCCTTGACCTTGGGCTTGATGGACGTCTTCTCGGTAATGAACTTGCTCAAGCTCTCCAGGTCGCGTCCGCCCGTGTAGTCGGTGGGCTTGTCGCTCTTTCCATCGAACCACTTGAGCGTGGGGAAGCCCGACACGTCGAAGCGCTTGCCCAGCGACTTGTGGTTGTCAGCATCGACCTTTGCAACGCTGACCTTGTCGCCGGCGTGCTGGAACACGGTGGCAAGCTCCTCGTAGACGGGAGCGAGGTTCTTGCAGTGGCCGCACCAGGGGGCGAAGAACTCGACGAGCGCCGGCTTGCCAGACTTGAGCACCACGGCGTCAAAGTTGGACGGCTCGAGGTCGATGACGGCAGATGCCGAGACAAGGGCGGGCAGCAGCGCAATGGCTGCGGGTATCAGATTGCGGAACAACATTGTGAGGGTTGGGTGGTGCTATGCAAGGTGGCAATCGGAGCTCCCCAACTTTATGTTGAAGGGCGGTGGGGGGGGGGAACTCGGGACGGAGCTTCGAGTGGCCATCCAGGGTCCTGAGGTGGCCATCGCTTAGCATGCAAGGTGTCCTCTCACCACGCCTCTATAGTAGGAATGGTTACAAATCCACTCAGCGCCATCCCAACAATTGTGAAACTGCAGTTTGTCGCAAGTAGGGGTTCTTGGAGCGATCTGACATTTTGCAAGGCAGAGAGCAGCCGGGCTGTAGCTGCACGCTTTGATTGTTGCGAAGCGGGGGCTCTATTGCACGGCGACTGTATCCAGTCTATCAAAGCACATGTACGCTTAGAACACATCAATTCAGGGTATCACCACATGCACACACGTCACTAATTCAACGACATCTTCCAATGATTGCCGCCCGTCATGCCATAACTCCCACTAACCGTCTTCTCCTCCTTGTGCCCCTCCTCCTCCTCCCCCACCTCCTTCCTCCCCGCCTTGACCTGCGCCGCCACGCCCTCGACGCACGCCCTCAACGCCCTGACATCCGCGCCCCTAACCTCCTGCACCTTGTTGCCGTCCTTGAACAGCATAAACGTCGGCATGGCCGTGACGCCGTACTGGCCCGCCACCTCACGCTGCTCATCGACGTTTACTTTTACAAATGCGAGTTTAGCGGGCGTCGCGTGCGCGCCCGCGAGTTGGCTGTAGATGGGCGCGATTTGCTTGCATGGCGGACACCAGGTGGCGTAGAAGTCGGCGATGAGGTACGTGTGTGCTGTGAGGAGCGTGCGGAAGTGGAGGGGTGCTGAGATTTCTGTTGCCATTGTTTGTTCGTTGGATGTAAATGTAAATTGGATGGATGGATAGATAGATGGTCGGGCTTTCTAGTCCCGGGATCAAATCAAACGAGTTATTTCCCCAGTAGTATTTTGTAGTGTATCCTTTCTTTTGGTCTTTTTGAGTTTCTGAAATCTGGTATTGTGTATCGAGTTCGTTGCATGCAAGATTAAACTGAGTTGGATATTAGCAGGGCCGCCGATAGTTTTGTACGTAGTCGCTCGCTGTTTAAAGTTGCCAAAATGGCGCAATATGGCAATGGAACCTTCTACACTTTGCTGAGCAAACGCGGCATCTCGCCAGCGCGCACATTTGTAATCCAGAATAAAATAAAATAGACACCATCATCACCATCACGTGCCCACGCGCTTTTGCTGTTCGCGGTAGTCGGCGATAATAGCAAGCAGCGGTCTAGTATTCCAGCGGTTTTTTTTAACGCTCCTGGTTTCCGGGAATGGTATCATCCAAGGTGCAGTGTAGTAGTAGCTCCGACTAGATGCTACGCACGACTTAATTCTCCCACGCAAGCTTTCGTAGCAGGAAAAAGTGAATTTCACAAGCTTACAAGAGTCGCATATATCTCATAGCACGCATTCGGAAAAGGCAAATGCAGCCCCCAACCCACAAACGCCTCGCTATGCAAACATTCAACACATATACCCAGCCACCTAGTAAACCACCCACACGGACAAAGACCTAGCCCCCACCTCTCCCCAGTATCTCTTCTCTCTCCAAGACCTCTGGCTTAAACTTGATCAGGAAGACCGTCTTGCCAGGCCACATGCCCTTTCCATCCTTGCCCTCCTCCTCGCCCACACTATGCGCCGTGACGCCCTCAGTCGGAAAACCCGCGCCGTCGCACACACCCTCGATGATGCCGGCGACAAAGGCGGCGCAATTGAGGCTCGACAGCTCCTTGGGCAGCGAGATGTACTGGTTGACCATGGGCTCGTTGTCAAACAGCATGTACTGGCCTGGGTCGGTGCCAGATTTTTCCAGCGCGTCGGCCGGCCGCCCAAACAGGTAGCGGTATAGCTGCTGGGCGATGAATTGGAGGAGCGGCAGGATGCGCGTCGGGCGTATCGAGGCGAGCGGGTTTGCGGTGCGCGAGAGGAGCAGGTCGAGGAGACGGAGGCCAATCGGGTAGCCTTGGCTGTTGAGTCTGGAGACATGGCCATTTAGTAGTCTGCCCCGCATACAAAAGGGAGACTTTGAGGTTTGCGCAATGCGGTGGCATCCCCTCGTACATCATCCCCGTACATCAATAGTGGCGTACCTTTGTTCCAGGTCGCCCACGTCCTTTGCACCCTTCTGCGCATACGCAATCATTTCGATGAAGAGATAGGCAAAGGCGGCGCGACTGAGCTCGGCATTCTTGCTGCGGTTGAGATTGCGGTCGTATATGCTCTTCTTGTTGGAGGGGTAGCGGAGGCCAGACGCTTGGCCGGGGTTGCCGTTCATGGCTGCGTCCTGGGCCTGCGACGAAGAGGCGGCCGACGACGGCGGGCGCAGCGTCGTGGCGGTCGACGAGGCCGACGCGGGTCGGGCGAGGCTGGCGGGCTGTGGGAGGGGCGACTGCCGCGTCGTGTAGTGCGAGGGGAGGATGGGGAGTAGGTTGGACATGGTGCCGCTGCTCGAGGCCTTGCCGGCAGACGGTTTGGCGGTCCAAGGTGGGTCGGAGGGGCGTGCGGCGTACGGCGTGCGTCACAGCTGGGCGGTGGTGAGGATGAGGCGCCAAGCTTTACGTCGACATTGTATTGTTCCCCCATGGCATGGAGGAGTCGTTACCACATGAAAAGGCCCGACTGCGCCCTCACCCATCTGATATCATTATCTTGCCGACATTACTATAATACACATATTTCTCGCATCATGTCCAGGAGCAGCGAGCGACATGTCCAGCAGCACATCCCGTATCCCTGCCCTTAGCCCTCCTCATTATAGCAGGCTTTGGCGTGTCGACAGACGGCCTCCAAAGCACGCCTCGAGCGCCAGCCATCGTGCTCTGCCCCAGTCTCCACACAACCATTCGCATTCTCGACCATGTCCTCATACAGTCTGGCCTTCATCCTGGCCTCTTCGGAAGCGCCTGCACCGGGAACCTGCCCATCCTCCTTCAGTCCACACCATCGCTTGTACCATGTCTTGACATATGCAGTCATGTCCACCTGGTATCGTCCCAGCTCCGCCATGATGCGCTGGATATCGATACGGCGCACTTCAAACTGAATAGGAATGACCACCACGGTATTGTTTGCATCGACAGCAGCGTCGCGCTTGTGCGGAGCGCCGGACTGCTCGACCTCGAGTTCTGCGCGAAGCTTTTCGTTGGCCTTTTGCTGTTCCTGCAACGCCGCCAGCGCATCGTCGCGTTCTTTCTTCATCTTACGTTGAGATGCAAGATGGCGCTGTTTGGCTCCTACGGCTTCTTTGGCCTTTTCCTCTTCTTTCCCAGCGACTTCCTTGGCGTGCCTGACCTTCTTGTTCGCGCCCTTGAGCTTGCTAGCCTTGCTCTCATTCTGGTTGCCCAAGTAGACATTCTCGCGCTCCGTCATCTTTCAATTCTCTTTGAGCCGATCATTCTCTGAACGCAGGCGCGCCGTCTCGTTTTGGAGGCGATTGATGCGGCGTACAATATCGCGGGGAAGGTTCGAGTTGGCGGCACCTCGAGATACTCCATGGTCCAGGTCTGCAATGATCTTGGCTTGCTCTTCAGTTTCTGCCTTCCAGTAGTCGCGCTGTTGACTCAGATTCGCGATGATGGACCGGAGACGGGCCTGTTCGCTCTCCTTCTCATCCAGCTCCTCATTGCTCGCATCTGCCGCCCACAGCAACTCTCCGGCCTTGATATGAGAGCCCTGCCTCGATAGACTGGCTGGAGAACTCTCCGCGCACACGTCAAGCGACTCGAGGAAAAGCGCGTCTAGATTAAAGCTCATCTGCTAAATGTTAGCACGAGCGGCCAATGGTCTGCTGATAACATCATACCGTGAGTTAGTCTTGAGCCAGGGCGTTGAGGGTTGCGCATGCGGGTCGGGCTAGGTCGAGGTTCAAGTGGTGCTGGTGAAGTCTACAGCAAACGGATTGGGCAGCTGCGCGCTCTTTCACCGTGAAGTCGCATTCACCGGGGGCCCGTCTTTCCGAAGAGCTCAACCCAGGCCCTGTCTAAACATTAAATCCCCTGGAAAGGAAAGTCTCCATGTAAATTAGGTATTATCATTCAGTAGCCACGCTGGGCAATATATTATGCTCGAAGCTCTGCAGAGGAACCGAGTTACGAGCATGATGCGAGGCTGTCATTCCGCTCCAGGGCGCCCACCCGATCTATGACGCGTACCAGGTCTTTCACTCGAAACGGTTTGGAGATCGCGTCGTCCATGCCCGCATCCGTAGCCCGCTTCAGCTGCTCCGGCCTTGCGTTCGCAGTCACAGCAATCATTTGCAAACGCTTGTTAATCTGTCCGCTGTTTTCTGCAGCGCGTAGTATACCTGCGCATTGGAGACCGTTCATGACGGGCATTTCCACATCCATGAGAATGACATCGATGCTTGGGCTGGAAGCGGCGGTACCAGCGTGGTCTTTCCAGTGCCTTGTAGATTTGACAAAGTCCAGAGCGGCTTGCCCATTGTCGGCTGTGTGAACAATGTAGCCATGTTGCTGCAGCTGTTTCTTCAAGACGCGCTGATTTACCAAGTTGTCTTCCACGAGAAGAACACTAAGCTGTGGCGTGCCTTGTGACTGAGAGTCCCTGGACGCGGTAGCGGAATGTTGAAATGTGGCGCCCTTGAATCCGGCGGACCCATCGATCGAGGCGCTAAGCCCGTTATCCGGCGGGGCTGCGATCGAAGCCTTGGCGTAGAAAGCGAACCTTGACCCTACGTTCTCCTGCGATGAAAAGCCAATTTCCCCGCCTTGCAAAGCTACTAGCTTCCGACTGATGAACAAACCTAGGCCGGAGCCGCCGTACTTGCTGTATGTTTTTGGTGACGCTTGAATGAACCGAGAGAAGATGCGTTTCATGGCAGTCGAGTCCATGCCACAGCCGGTGTCGTTTACGCTGCACCACAGGTAGAGCTCCTTTCCGTCCTTTGCTGTAGCTGCGTTCGCCTCGTTCTGCTGCGATGGCGATGGCGACGCCACCATCATGAGATCGACAAACACATCCGCAGGACGCGAATAAGAAGCGCCAATGCAGACTGTGACATTCCTGCTTCCTGCACTATCTTTTGTAAACTTGATAGCATTCACAACCAAGTTCACAAGCACCTGCATGATTCGTCCAGAGTCGGCTTCGATCCAGTCAATCCCAAGTTCGCTCAGAGATGGGTCAGGTACTGTCCTGAACATGACGCCAGCCTGGGCAGCTTCGAGCCTGAACGTGCTCTCGACCTGGTCGAGGAAGCTCCTCACCTGGAAAGCAGAAGGACATATTTCCAACAGGTTAGAGTCTAGCTTTGAGAGCGAAAGGATATCGTCGATGATCCGTTTCTGATGCACGGTACACGACATGATGGTGTCGACAGCCTCGGTCATGTTGCTGGTACATTCCTGAAGCCGCTTCGTGGTGGCGGCTTTATTTGCCTCGGATGTCACTCGATACTTTACCTGGTCAAGCAGTAGCTTCATGTCGGAAAGCGAATTTGCCAAAGAGTCTGCACAATGCATCACTGCGCTGAGGGGATTCCTGATCTACGAGCGTGTTAGACCTCGGTAATCCAGCGATCAGCTAGAAGAACATACCTCGTGACTAGTCATATCAACAAAGCTATGCAAGGTTAGTGAGGCGCGCAAAATATGAGCGGGACACATACTTTTCCTGCTGGCGCCTGGCTTCGACGGCTTCCTGAATCTCTGTTCGCTGCAAAGCTTCGGCGGTTTTGAATTCGCTAATATCCACAATGGTAGTCGTAATATGTACACCCTCACTGCCCACCATCTCCGGAGTGGCAGTGAGCTTCACCCATGTCTGCTCCGAGCTATGGGGTGTTCTCTTCAAGCGTTTAAGTCGCAGTTGGAGGCTAACAGACTTGCCGCTTCGTGATATCTCGTCCATGCGCACATTGAATTCCGAGACGTCCTCGGGCAAAATGATGGCTCGGAAATCAACACTCTTGACTGACACGGAAGGGTGGCCAGTCATCTGAAACCAGGTTTTGTTGACGAACGAGGGTACTCCGTCTTGATCGAATATGAGGACACCCATGGGCGCATTGTCAATAATGTTCAACAGACGAAATTCACTCAAGCGAGCGGGCTCCTGAGAGCCAGAGCGCTGGGCTAAGGTGTCGTGCTGGATGCTTTTCTGGCTCTCGAGCACCGTAACACACCCTGTGATGCTCACAACACCGCTTGCACTATCAATGACAGGAACGCAGGCTATCTGGACCCATCTTTTCTCTTGGCCACGAGGCTGGAACGTTGTTGAGAATGTCGATGGCTGGCCACTAGTTAAGCTGTGCCAATGGGCTGTCAGTAGTAGCTGATCTTCTTGCTCGCAAAGCTCCAATAGCCTCGTCTGATTCTGTACATCGGGGTCGCTGGAACAACCGCTAATACTGCAGAATGCATCCTATTTGTTGTGAGTATGTGCATGGTACATCCTGCTGTCCTTCTTACATTAGTCTGCATCAGCTTTCCCAATGGGTTGCACTCGAAGAAGCCGATGCTTTTGCTACAAAGTCAGCCTGGCCCGTCCGTGAGAGGCGGCAAACTAACCTGGCGGCATCCATTATCTGCAGCATTCGCTGCACTTTGCCTGTTGCTAGAGCAGCCTCTTGTTGCTTCAAGTGAACTTCCTTGGCGTACATTTCCCTCTCCTTGGCTATGCGTTTTTGGTCATTTTCGTGGGCTAGTTTCCTGGCCTCGGCCATGGTGACTGCTGCGACACTGCTGCAAAAGTGTTGATGGAGTGTTTGTACCCACGCTTGATAGGAGCTGTCATAGGGACTTCGTGGCGCCAGCCCAATGATCATGACGGCGTGGACGCTTGCGGACTTATCCATGACGCTTGGTAAAACAATGGCCTCTAGGCAATCATCTCCATAACACCGTTCCCTGGACGCATGGCACATCTCTGGCGGCAGGGTACCGTCTGCTGCTCGGAGAAGCTGCGGAGCGCGCATATCGACTGTCTCGTAAATGCTCTTGATCCAGGCTCGACCCTGGCCGCGCTTGATGTGGGATGGAAGTGGGGATGCGAAGGCGCCAACCGTGCCAGCAAGTACAAAGTCTTGGGCACTAATGTGATTTGATATGAAGCCTGTCTCTTCACGCACAAGGGTATTGTCGGCGTGATATATGGCGGCAAATGCAATGTCGCCGTCACCGCTCGATATGCCATTCAATAGCGAGGCCCACAGGGCATGTGGATCTGGTGCATCCATGGAGGCGCCGCGGATGTGCTCGAGCGATTGCTCGCGGCGATTTTGCAAAGCGTCTTTGGTGGTGTCGTATGCTGTGACATGGTAGCCGTCGAGGGAGAGAGGCAGTTTTACCATTGTGGCCGAGAGGAAGACCTCCTCGAGACGGCCATGCTGTGGGAAGAAAAAGGGCGTGTGGTGTTGGTCGAGGGCAGAGCCGTCCTGGGCGTGCTGGGCGATGGTTAGGATGGCCTGGCCTTGGCCAATCATGGCTGTGTTGAGGGCGATTGGCCGGCCTTGGTAGAGCGGATGACAGTCGCGGAGCAGTCTGCCGTAAGCTGTGTTGTATAAGATTATCGAGTCACGCCCCAATAGGAAAATTTGTGGCTGCGGGCTGAGCATGGCCAGGTTGATGAGGACCAGTAGTTCGCGTGGCCATTCTGCAATGGGGCCAGGAGCGGTATCGGCCCAGTTCAGCTCGCGTATGTATTGCAGGTCGGAGTCAATGGCGGAATCGCCGGTTGGCTCGGTGAGGAAAGAGAGATGGGGATGAGGCTTCCCCGCATGCTGTGCAGTCTCGAGCTCTGCGGACATGGTTGCGACGAGAAGGCGACCGAGTCAAAAGATAGCCCGTGGCGGCTGAGATGGTTGTGGAGCAGAAAAGTTGACGGGCGGTCAAACAGACGACGCATCCACGCTGCGTGCATCAGCAAGCCGATGCGTACAAATGGCTCTCGGCCAGTCTTCGGAGAAGTTTGTTCAGGGCCCTGCCCACAGCCGCATCTGGATTGGTGTCCATGCGCGTGGTTGGGAGCTTAGCACCGACACCTGAAGCATGACCGCAGTTGTCCCGCGTGTCGCCCCGGTATCCGCCTCATGGATCCGTCGTGGCATACTGTGTGTGTGTGTGTGTGTAGCAGGAGTTCAACGGCGCCCCACGGCGCTTGCAGGCACCGGCATGCACAGCGGAGCCGGAGCGCTAGGGCGAACGTTGGCGTTTGGCGTTGTGTGTGTGTGTGTATGTGGTAGCAGCAGGTGTAGCTAGTCGTATGGTGAAGCATGGCGACGTCGTGGTGGAGGTAGCAGTAGTGCTGAGCGTGGTGGAGGTGCGCCGAGTCGATTGTGTCATGATTCGCTGCAGGGATGAGAAATTCCCCGCCTTGCCTTGGCGCTCACAATGACGAAAAAGGGGGCCTGGCGCTGCATGCGATGACGTCGGTCTGCACGGAACAGTCATGGTTTTCGCTAGCTCCCGTGATTAGGCTTTGGCGTGCTGGCCAGCCATAAGCTTAGCAGCTGACGAGGCGACGTTTGGCCGCCATGTCAATGACCGCATACTTACCGGCGCGCTGGGTGGCAGCCGTGCCTGAGCCCGCGTTTCGCAATAGCCGGCATATTATGCCCAATTTGCAGCTCCAGCTCCAGCGCCCAGCGCCCGCTACCACGTGGAGCGCGGCGGCGAGACGGAGCATCATGCAGGCCAGGTCAGCAGCGCAGCCCGAGTAGCCTTTCTCAACACATTTGGTCGCCTCCGCGCCACGTAAGCATCGCATTGCCCAGCTTGAATCAGCCTAACAGGAACCTTAATGCCGTCGTCGCCGCCGTTTCTGGCCAAGCAAGTCGTGCATTCGAGGCCATGTATCATGTCCTGATAGCTGGCCATGAAACCATGCTGCATTGCCTTTGGTGGGCACGTCTGCCTGGACAGCAGATGCTCTTGCGCTGTTGAGCTTCATCAGGCCAAGATACAGGCATGTGTGTATTACATACTCGCTGCACACACACACGGCACATGCCGCTGGCTTCTAGTTGGTTCTCTGGCCTTTCCACAGTGGGGCCAGGCGATCGATGGCAATGGCGGTGGTGGTGGCCGCGGTGGCAGCAGACCCTGACTCCACCCGGCCCACTCACGTCGCTGCAAATCGAGGCATAGCGCGAATAAGCGCCCGACACCACGCTGCCACTGCTTCTGCTTCGGCCTTGATGACTGCCGCCCATCCGGCCTCACATGCCGCTTTCAGGAGAAAACACGCACCATCCTCTGGCAAGCCCCACGTCCGCCCCTCCATCCACCACCACCACCACCGCCAGCAACCAGCGACCAGCAACCAGCACACACCACGAGGGATCAACGCTGCCCTTGCTCTCAGCGTCAGTGTCAGTGCCAGCGATCTCCCCCCGTAGTCTGCGATACCCGGCATCGATCGAAACTCGCCCCCCCAACCCCGATGCTTCCTCCAACACGCGTCTATTCTAAACATGGCCACCCAGCCCTCGACATCCGGCAACGACTCGTATCCCCTGACGCGCATTACACATGCGCATCTACTGTAGTACGTATGTAGAGTGGTGTCGCCGACCAACATAGCAACTGTTGCGCTGTCGAACCAATGGTCCATGGAGGTCGTCATGCTGCCCCAGCCCTAACCATGCAAGCCCTCTCGGCAGTGCAGCAATCTGCCCTCGGGAAATGCACCATCCATGCTGTATATTATCAAGCTATGCGCTTTTCCTCGGAACCGTCCCTGTCCCTGGATTCGTTCCTGTCGCGTGAACAATCAAAAGACAGGGAGTCGGCTGCCCGTTGCATTGATCATGTTGTCTGGACTTTGACAAGCGCCCGTGGTTATCTTATTAGCCCTGCATCTTAACGGCCCTCGGTGCCGTTTGAGAAACGATCTTCGTCTTCACCGCCCGACGGGCACATGGCTAGTTGTGTGCCTAGGTGTACGCTGGCGACCGTTTTCTGACTGCATTACATGCGCGAGTAGGTTTGTCATGGCGTTGCGTCGTCGTTGAAGTAGGTCATAGACGATGACTCGGCTCGTGAGCACCCAAGCTGTAAGCGATCACGTGACTTTGGCAATCAGGCCTTGGACCATCCGCTTGTCCTGCTTCTTGTCCTTGTCCTTCTTACAACCACCAACTCTTATATAGATTAGCGAGTCTAACACCGCCGCGCGTCGTTGCGAAGAGACTACGCTGACCTTGCTCTTCGCCCTTTGCTTCCAAATCCATTTGCCTGAATCCCACCGGTGAGCCTAATGCAAGGACATCCCTTGCCTGCGAGTCTTAAACATTGTTCCTGCCGTGCTCCTACGGCTGCACTTGTGATGACCCATTGACTTCCTCACCTAGCAGCGCCGCATTGATGCATGGTAGCATTCTCGGGTCGTCCAAGCATGTCGCATTCCAAGACGTTCACAATGCTGTCTCTCGATCGACTCGGCCCATCACGTGATGGCGAAAAACGCGGCGAGATCCAGGGATACAGTTTAGCGATTGCATCAGAGATCAGCTCATCTTATATACGACAGGCTCAGAAAACTCCTTCTTACTCGGACCTGGTACTGATAACATGGCGTGAGCTGGTGTGAGCTAGTGCCAATTACCTCGTTAGTACTAGGTGAGGGAAAAGCCGCCACCATTCGCTTAAGTACGCTTCTGCATACATGTGCACGCCCAGTGGTAACACACCAGCAACCACTCGAGATTGCATGTCCGCCTCGAGCATCGTAAGTATTGTTCCTACGGGTATACGGCTGTATAGCGCATCCGGACCAGCGGCAAGGAACAAAGGGATGAAGAGGAAGAGGGGATGCGCGGCACCCGGGATACCAAAGCGATGCGTTCCTATTCCAGCGTTTCCCCGCTTTTCGCCCATTGTAGCTTCGCCCCGTCTCCTCCTCACCAACGAATGGTGGAGTGGTACTTTTAGCTGTCACGCAAGACGCCGGTCGAACCATGGAGGACCACGTCTTGCGACGTCTTGTTGGATGCGCAGCGGATGCGAGCCTTTGATGCGAGCCTGTTACGCGATGTGGCCGTGGACGCCGCTACGTTCGGCGAGGAATATATGGGTGTCTATCATCTCACGGCAGCATGGCTCCCAGCAGGGTTGGATTCGATACGCGCGGAATTGGATCTTCCGCGGATCCGGGCTTATTCTATTGTTTCTGTGTCCTCGAATAGGGGTCATGTCCGCCATTGAAAGCGCTTTTGCCACGGCTGTCATCGAGCAAGAATACCACGACTTGCCAGACTGGGCATCATCCTCTGGGGACACCAACGGCAATTCTTCGACGACACCATTACAGCAATGCGCGCAGCACGGTACCACGGAATTGAGGATGTTCGCATCGAGGATGTGGAGCCGCAGAAGTGTGGGCCAGGCCAAGTCAGAGTACGCACTCGTGCTTTGTCTTCAGAAACAAAAAATAGTAACAAGCCATCTAGGTTGCCCCCGCCTTCGCAGGCATCTGCGGTTCCGATCTCCATGAGTATCTCGGGGGCCCTGTCTTTATTCCAACAAAGCCCCATCCCTGCACTCATGAGACGTTGCCCGTAACTCTCGGGCACGAGTTCTCAGGCACCATTACCGAAGTCGGCTCCGCAGACTCGCCTTTCTCAGTTGGGCAGAAGGTGTGTGTCCAGCCGGCCCTGTACTGCGGTGAGTGCGTGCCATGCAAAACGGGATGTGAAAACGTGTGCTTCAAAGGCGGCTTCATTGGGCTGTCTGGAGGCGGTGGTGGACTGAGCGAGTCGGTAGTTGTACCCCAAGACACTGTGCTGAGACTACCAAACAACGTACCGCTTGACGTTGGTGCGCTAGTCGAGCCGTTGAGTGTTGCGTGGCATGCTATCTCGGCGGCGTCCTTGACTAAAGACTCGGCTGTCTTGATCCTGGGTGGCGGGCCCATCGGCCTCGCTATTGTACAGTGTCTGGTTGCAATAGGAGTTCAGAAGATCATCTTGAGCGAGGTGTCGGGCTCGCGACAACGCTTCGCCCGGGATTTCGGCGCCCATCACGTCTTGTCTCCCAAGACAGACGATGTTGCTCAAACGAGTATAGCGCTAACTAACAATGCCGGACCAAACGTCGTCTTTGATTGCGCAGGCGTGCCAGCAAGTATCGAAACCGCGTACGCGGCTATCAGGCCGCGCGGTACAATCGTCAATGTCGCCATCTGGGAGAATAGTGTGCCTTTTAATCCTAACATGCTGCTGTTCCGCGAAGTAAAGTATACTGGTGTGGCAGGATATCAAAGGAAAGACTTCGAGGCCATTATTGAGATGCTGGGTTCTGGTAAGTGGAGCCATGGGGATAGTGTGTAGCAAAATTGACACAGACGCAGGCAAGTTGCAACCGAGCAAGATGATTACGCGAAAGATAGCGCTGGATGACCTGGTTGAAGACGGGATCAAAGCTCTCATCAATGATAAAGAGAACCAGGTAAAGATTGTGGTTCAACTGCCGGAGACGGGCCGCATGGGGTCTGCCGTGCATTGAGTGATTTGCAGTGGTTGTGTCATGGCATGATACCACAGTGGGTGGTAGTGGGTGGTGGATAGCGGAGCAGTTTTTCGTTTAGCCAAATGAAGTTTGTGAGCCTCATTCTCCATGTGGAGCTCTGGGTGATATAGCCGACTATTGCGTGTGGAAGGCCCAACAACCAGGTAGCAGGGCAACATGGCGAGTCATGAGGAGGTTCTGCGCAGAAGACATGGAGATGTTGGGCCGGAGAATGAATCAGCCGTGCAAGCGTCCAAGTCCACGATTATGAATCACGACGGTGTGGATACCCATCCATGGACAGCCGAGACATGGTTAGCCCTCGGATGCGATATTAAAAGGCTTGGAAGGCGGGCAACCGGTGGGGTTGGTGTTGCTAGCTTGCAGAGTGTACCAGACATGGCGAGTCACGTCAGCTCGGGAGATGTGGGAATAGGACTACACTAGCATGCGAGCGCCGTGTCTTGGCCTGGCGGGCAGTGCAAGAGTGAGAGTAGTGGTAGTGGTAGAGAGTGTCTTGTGAGCGGTGCCTATTTTGTCAGTGTGCAAACACGACAGGATGGGGCTTGGCACGGGGCTGGTCTGTGCATGTTTTGCAGACTCGGCGCTTGAAACACGCGACACTCGTGCAGTTCTCGAACAGACATGACTTGCTTTTTGGAGGCGCAGCGTCTCGTCCAAGTACCCAAGGTGACGGGCAGCCAGATGCGCGAAGGCTGAGCGATGGAGTATCAGCACGGGTTGGTGCGGGACTGATGTGAAGCCTGGAGTGTTGTTTTTCTCATGTATCGGTCCTTTGGCGGTGTGAAGAAAATGTCGGAGTCTGGCGTAGGCATACTAGACTACACAGCAGCTGGGTACTATGTTGTGAATGGTGCGGTTCGCCGCCACATTGACGCCCATGTAGGAGCCGGCAAACCTTGGATGCGCCAGCATGTCAGAGGAACCGACGGCCCCGTCGAGCACACGATACATGGCAGCTCCGAGCCCGTGCTGGGCAGTGGTAGAAATTCTTCTTTGTCGGAGCCTTGAAGCGTGTCGGAGAAGGATGGCGACGTCATACGTGTAGCATGTGCAGGCCAGATAAGTACGCGCGTAGGCAATGGCTCAGCTCAGCCATGGTCGTCGAGGTTGAAGATTAGGTTTCGCGCAAGTGGTAGTCGGTAGTCGGCAGTCGGCATCAGCATAGTCGTGATGGCGGTGCTGCGAGATGTGGGTGGACAGGAAGCAAGGTGGACCGCGGGACGTGGGGCTGGGCGTACATGTGCATGCATGCAGGATTCGTGTACAAGGAGGCTGCTCCCACTCGGGCGACTTTTGTTTTTGTGTAGCAGGGCAGGGCAGGGCAGCCCGCCGTTTGGAGGCATGCAGGCGGCTAAGCGAAGCCGTTTTCCTTGGGCGTGGGCGTGGGCGTGGGCTCTGGGGCATGCAGCACCGACATGCGGTTTTGTTGTTGAGTTTCACGGGGCGCGCAACGGACGGCGAGGGCAGTCTTGGGCCAGGCCAAGTATTCTTAGTATTATTAGCTGCTACTTGGTTGACCAAGCAAGACTTTGGCAGCCTTTGCTCGTACCTCGTCGCCGCCAACGGGCAACGGGCAACGGGCAACGGGTACCTGCGCCCCGTCGTCGTCGCCGCCGCCGCCGCCGCCAGTGCCAGCGCCATCCACACTGATAGTCCAAGGCGCCTCCCTCCTACAGCACACCAATGCACTTGCACACACGGCTGCTGCCCGCGTGACACAAGACTGCCATGTTTGCGCGGCCTCTGGATGCGATGCGATGCGATGCGATGATAGCGGCGCGCTGTGGTGCGGTGAAGCTGGATGCGGCCATGCTATGCTGTGCCAGCGCGGCGCAATCAACACCCCGGCGCGCCATCATTTCAGCGATAAACAAGCCGTCGTCCGCGCGTTGGCCTTTGCCCAATGCAGCCTCGATCTGCAGGTACAGCTTGCTTTTCCCACGTCCCGCCCTGCTTTGGCTCCTGCCGGCCAGGCGCCGTCGTGGCAGGCGTCCATGTGCGCGCTGCACTAACAAACACCCGCCTCTCCAACCTCTTCTCTCTTCTCCCCCATCTTCTCTCTCCAGCTCTTCTCCCCGCCCCACGCTGCTATTCTTCTGAATACTTAGCAAGGCATCCTTCCCCAATCCATTGCTCTCCCCGCCCCCCCGATTGTCCCCCCAATTCGACCGCTGCGACTATTTCTTGTGGGTCGTCTGAACATACGCATATTAGCACCTCTCCAGCCACCCGGCCGACATTCAAGATGCGCACCTCGGCCTTGCTCACGACCCTCTTCCTCGCTGCGACGACGCTGGCCCAGGCTGTCGAAGAGGGCATTGCACCCGGTGCCCATATTCCCATGGGCTGCCGCACTTCTATCGACGGCCCCTTCAGAATAGGCACGCTCGAGAACCCTGCCCTTCGCAAGCGCGAGTCTGCCCAAGAGGTATGTCGGACATAGCCATGCCAGCACGGTCCACCTAAAACACCTGTCGTGTTGTCTGTATGCTAACGTAACGCAACGCTAGGCCTCGGACGGCGATCTCCTCTGCACCCTCAAGGACGGCATTCTGCACGACCAGTTTGGCCGCACAGGCTCCATTGTGGCTAACCGCCAATTCCAATTCGACGGCCCGCCTCAAGCTGGCGCAATCTACACGGGCGGCTTCTCGGTCTGCAGCAACGACTCGCTTGCGCTGGGAGGCAGCACCCGCTGGTGGCGCTGCATGAGCGGTCCGTTTGGAAACCTCTACGACGAGTGGATTGGCGCCCAGTGCCACGAGATCCGCATTCAGGCCATCTTTGACGACACGACAAAGTCGAGCTCGCAGAGCGCGTCGGCGAGTAGAACCGCATCCAATGGCGCATCCAGCACACCTTCTGCCAGCCCCACCAACGGTGCCTCGAGCGACAGCAGTTCGATCAAGACGGCATCCAGCTCAAGCCCTGAATCTGCTACACCCATCCGTACCTCGGGCTCTGGGTCCTCGCCAACGTCTGTACCCGCAGGCGCCAATGCCTCGCCCACCAGGGAGGCTGATGCCCCTCCAGCCAATGGCGCAGCAACATCTCTGGGCGCTGCGCCGTTTGCTCTATTCGGCGCATCCATGCTATTCCTTGGCGCTGCCCTGGTGCTTTAAACGACCAATTTTGGACGGAAACGCACATGATTTCTTTTCTCCTAGTTTACTGTTCCTCTGTTCGCGGCATCTCTGGCGTCTGCTCAGCGTTTGTTCATGTCAGGCATAGCGTGCATCAAGGCTACACCTAGTTTGTAATGCGTCGACACCGGTATCCGTTCCTCAGCAAGACTTCGTACGGCACTTTCGTCGGCATGAGAGTGATTTTCCAACCATGACGCGTATGCTGTTTGTTTTTTTGGACGTGGTGGGGCGAGAAGGAGGCCAAATGGTATTGGTGGTGACGAGGCTCGCGACGCATTGTTGTAGACAGTCTTTGTTTTTGTTTGTTTGATGCACACACAGCATGGGTTATTGGTTCAAGACGCGGCATGGATTCCCCCTGATGGCTTGCAGCACCTGGAGACAGGAGGCTGTAATTTTAATGATAATATGGTAGACGCGAGCAACGGTGTTGAGAAGAATACGACGATTGATTTTTTTTTCCCTTTTCCATGAGTAGCAATTTTGCAGAGATTGCCCCAACGCCTCAATATGTATGCAACGGGTCAAGTGAGTGAACAGGAAGAACAATACATGGACGGCAACAGCAGCAGAAATAGACAGTCTAGTCAACGGCCCCTCTTTATTTATTTATTTTTCCTTAAAAATCACTCTCGAGTTGATCAAAGCTGTCGTCGGGCACGCCCATGGCCTGGTTGCTTGCCTCGAGCATGGCCGTCAGATGGTCGACCGTGGCCTTCTGAGCCTTCCACCTCTCCACCTGCACCTCGATCTTGGCCCTGAGGTCGTCCGGCCACGCAACCGGGTTCCTGGGCAAGTGTCCTGCATTGGTGATCATGGCGGGGAGCAAGATGTTCATCTGAAAGCCGGGCATGGACAGATACGACTTGAACTCTGCAAAGGCATCGTCGAGTGAGCGCAGCCGGACCTCCATGACACGGTACTCGGCCGCCAGCGTCGCCAGGTAGGCGAGCTGGCGCGTCGTCATGGCAGCGGTGCGGCGCAGCAGCAGCAGCATGTGCAGGGCGTTGTCTTCGGTCGTCTCGAGGGCCGTGGCGTGCGCGTGCGAGCCCGGGCGGCCGAAGAGTGGGTGCAGCAGGCGCAGCGACCAGCGCGTGTGCCGGTCGAGTTTGTCGCTGGGGTTGAGCGACGCCGCGAGCCGCGTGCGGCGCAGCAGCCGGAGACAGTCTTCGCTGTGGCTAAAGGTAAACGTTTCGTTGCGTTTCTGTGCACACACACACACACACATACGCCGTTAGCCGTTTGGTTCACCCGTCGTGTGGAATTTCTGGGCTGCACATACCTCGTCAAGCAGCATGCGCAGTGCGCGCTCCGTCTTCAGGAAGCGGAAGAGCATGTCCTTCCATGCTACGCGGATGCGCCGCTGGTTGAGGTTGACGTCGACGTCAAAGTGCATGCGGCCATCCTCGACGGGGAAGTCGAGATCCAGCACTGCGTCGTCGAGCCAGATGCACCATCGCAGGGTGCCGAAGCCGTCCTCGGGCCTGCACAGCTCGAGCTGGTCCAGGGTAATCATCCACTGGGCATCGGCATCCTCGATGGTGTCGCCCTGGCGTGCTGCGGCGCCGCCAATGCGGTGGAAATCAGAGTACCATGCGTCGTCGATGCTGAAGACGGCGTACTTGTGGCTCCAGACAGGCGTGTTGGTGGCTCTGGGGCCCGTCGCCGTTTCCTGCTCGGGGCTCTTTTCTACACGCTGGAAACGAGCGTGCACGAGATGTATCTTCTCGTACTCGGTGTCGCTGAGCGTGTCCATGGGCCGCTCGTGGCGCGGGCCCATGTACCCCACCAGCTTGGTGCGGCGCAGCTGGCGGTACAGGACCTGGCCGTCGATGGCATCGCGAAAGCCGCGGCACACGAGGCGCCAGTCGAGAAGGTGGTCGACGGGCACGTACTCGAGAATGTGGAGGAGGATTTCGGTGGGGAGGAGGGCCAGCCGTGTTGCCGACGACGAGGCAGCCTGGCTCGACTCGATGGAGCTCAGCAGGGCGGTAATGTCGTCGTGGTTGAAGCCGACCTGCACATGGCGGCGCAGGTACGGGGGCAGCTCATCAATGTCTGCGGACGGCGAGGCGGGAGGGTTGAGTGGCTGTCTGGCGGCGCTCAGCTGCGACATGGTGGAGACGCGGGGGAGACGACGCTGGGTTAGGGGAGGGGCGTCGAGGCCTTAGTGTGCTTCTAGCCTGCACTGGCACCGTCGTTCCCAGCCAGCCCAGAGCACGTGCGAACAAGTATCTGTATCGGTGCAGCAGCACGCCAGCCCCATGCCGCTGCGTTGGATTTGACACGGTGTTCGCGCGTACATCGCCACGGCGTTAGGCGCTGCCTTCGGCCCTTCAGCTTCACACATAGTTTCCCGCGGCCAGTCATCCCCATGCCCGCCCGCCCGTCTGCCGTCCGAGGTGGGCGTAGTCTGCCTCTTACCCTTCGACAAGAAAGACACGCTGAATGGGACACGCAAACGGCTGCATCTCGCTCTCAATCTGTACGTGCAGTAACTTTGCATCAGTGTCAGTACCACGGAGCTCGGGGGTGCTCGGCAACCCAATGCGGAAATTCCAGTGCGGGGGCTAGCTTACACACTCCTGGCCGTGCATGGTTAGACCCGAAGTGGGGTAATACAACCTCCCCCCCAGCCATGCGCGAATGCTCATGACCATGGATGCGGATATTGACAACCGTCGACTGTTTCCAGGCACACAGGGTGAACTCATCCTGCACTTGGAGTATATCTCGCCATGGCGTCCGCTGCCGTGTCCTCTGCCCGACTTCTTTTCGACGACATTTCCCTCCCATCTGCCCTGATACAAGTCCAACATGGCCCCAGCAATCCGCCGACCAGTCCGCGTGGGCGGTGCCTCTGGGGGCTTCTCCGACCGCGTCCGCGCCATTGCATCCCTGGCCAAAGACGACGTCGATGTCATTGTCGGCGACTGGCTCTCCGAGATGACCATGACCATGCACGGCACGGGCAAGATGCGCAACAAGGAGCACATGCTCGAGGCTCGCACGCTCGAGGAGAAGCTCAACTACGCAATGTTTGCCGAAAACTTCATGGACTGCTTCACGCCTGCTATCAAGGACGTCGCTACTCGTGGCATCAAGGTTTGCGTCAATGCCGGCGCGTCCGATACCGAGCTGCTCGCACAGCTGGTCGACAAGACATGCAGGGAAGCTGGCTATCCTCTCAAGGTGGCCTGGATCGAAGGCGACGATGTCACGGGCACTGTGAAAAGCATGCTGGGCAAAGGCGAGGGATTCCAGAGTCTGATGCACAACAAGTCTGTCGCCGAGTGGGGTCTGGAGCCAGTGTGTGCTCAGTGCTATCTCGGCGGTCTGGGTATCGCCAGAGCTCTTAGCGAGGGTGCTGATGTTGTCATTGCTGGACGTGTCTCTGATGCTTCGCCCATTATTGGCGCTGCAGCATGGTGGCATGAGTGGACGAGCGACCAATTTGATGAACTAGCTGGCTCTCTGGTCATTGGTAGGTATGTTCCTCGACTTGCTTAACTCTCTACTGATGTTCTCAGGCCATCTCTTGGAATGCGCCGCCTACGTATCCGGTGGCTATTGCTCCGACTTTCGCAGTCTCCTCGCCCAAGGAAAACACATCAACATGGGCTTTCCCATCTGCGCCATTGACAACAAGGGCGAGGGTGTCATGTACAAGGAAAAGAACACGGGCGGCTGCATGACTGTCGCATCAGTCACATCTCAACTTCTCTACGAGATCCAAGGACCGCTTTACTACAACTGCGACGTCACAGCCGACCTGACTGATATCAACATCGAACAGATTGGCGAAGACCAAGTCAAGGTCTCTGGCGTCAAAGGACTTCCACCTCCACCCACGACCAAAGTCGGCATCACAGGCTTCGCAGGCTGGCAGGCCGAGTATCACATCTACCTGGTTGGCCTCCACATTGAAGAAAAGTGCCGCTGGATCGAAGAGCAAGTCCAATATGAGCTCGGTGAAGAACTCCTCAAAAAGTTCACTCTTCTCAAATTCATGCAAAACGGCTCTTCCCCCATCGACGCCAGAAACCAAGACGTCGCGACCGTCGACTTCCGCATCTTCGCCCAGTCCCGCGACCGCGAACTACTCAACATGCGCAACCCCAAGGGCTTCTTCCGCATCTCCATGGTAAACTTCCTCATGTCGTGTCCTGGCGCGTCTCTCGGCAACGACGTCCGACAAGCAGAAGGAAAGCCATACTACGAGTACCATCCCTCACTCCTCCCCCAGTCTGCCGTCCAACAGCGCGTCCACTGCATCTGGGCCGGCGACGCTGCAGATGGATTCAAAGACGGCAAGAAATCAATCGACATGCCTCTAGCCCCGTCATTCCGCGAGTACCCCCGCCAACAACCCTCATACGAAACCACATCTCCCGTCCCTCTCTCTCATTTCGGTCCCACGGTACGGCTGCCTCTCGGCTCCATTGTTCTCGGCCGCTCAGGCGATAAGTGCTCCGACGCCAACGTGGGCTTCTTCGTCCGCCACGCCGACGAGTGGGAGTGGCTGCGCAGTCTGCTCACCATCGACAAAATAAAAGAGCTACTTGGCCCCGAAGAGTACACGGGAAACCCGATTGACCGGTTTGAAATGCAGAATGTACGCGCTGTGCATTTCCTGCTGCACGACCATCTGGACCGCGGATACGACGCCTGCAGCACGTACGACACCCTGGGCAAAAACGTCTGCGAGTACCTGAGGGCAAAAAGCGTGGATATCCCCGTGGCCTTTGTGCAGAGGGGTGTGCTTTAATTAGTAGAGCTGTGCACTTGGCTTCGAGCTGCCACGACCGACGCTGAAGCTACTTGCTGACTTACTTAGTTTGTTGAAGTCTAGTAACTTGCGTGATTGGACTGGAAAACCCGTTGGGAAAAAAAAGCAACCCCAGAGCTTTGCATCCGCAATCTTTGCATTTGCATTTGCATATTTCCCCCCCCCCCCTAAATTACCTACGTTATGCTACGTAGATTGAATGTAAGAATTTAAATTATATATTTACAAAGTTGCAGAGGTGTAGCGCATACGGCGCAACTACTACCGACGGCATGATGATGCTCATTCATGAACGCATGGATGGAGTACAACACCTAACCCATGCATCCATGTACCTGACTCAACCACCACACCCAAACACCCCTCCCATCCGGACCCTCCGCTCTTCGACTCGCGCACACGCGCTCGGCCCTCAACGCCGAAACCCAGCCAGCCCGCTAGCTAGCTAGCTAGCTACGCGCGTGCGTCCCTACCGTAGCGCCGGCCGGAGCCGCCACAGCCACGTACGTACGTGACATACCGTGCGCTTGCCCCTGTGCGCTGGCAAAGTAAGCCGTAGCGCCGGCACCGACACCGACACCACCATCGGCACCCGCGCAGCCGGAGGCGGGGTGCGCTGGATAGTCCATATGGCGCGAGGTCATGTTAGCCCAGATGGGTAGGTGTGGATTACGGCGGCGATCAAGCCCGGTGCGCGTGCTAATGAGGGTGTGTAATAATGGTGCCAGTGTGGTGGAGAGGGGAGGAGGCGGCGGCGGCGTGCTGCGGGTGGGTGCGCCTGGGTGGGTGCGAGCGTGGGTGCGAGGGCGTGTGGGTTAGGTTTGCTGCGAGTCATGGAGTTAGGGAGGGGGGAGATGAGCTGCGGGGTGTAATTTTCTTCTTCATATCTTGTTTTGTTTCTGCTGTTTCCGGGTTTTCGAAAGAGGAGATATGGGGTGCATGTGGAATTGTAGACATGCTGATTGGGAACGAAGACGGAGGAGGGACATGGTAGTTGAGACCAGGCTAGCTTTGACGCTAACTTCATGATAGAATATGCGATACTGTCATATCCGGAGCAAGAATGCTTTCCACGTGGGAGTAAAAAAACTATAGCATGCAACGGTGCCATGGAATGTCCGGAGCAGGGCATGGGACTAGCGACGCAAGGTATGTGACTGAAGTTAACGCTAGACCAGATGGCCAAATGCTACACCAAGATAAAAGGTAGAGGGACAAAGGAGCGAGTATACTGTATTCAGCGCCATCTATACAACCAAAAGAATACTCGTAATACATACCAAAAAGTGTACAAGCAATGTACAACGCTTCAAAGTGCAGAATAACTCACGGCAGAGGCTACTCATAGTCTCGCGATCGTTTCTGGCTTGGGCAATTGCTCAATCATACAGCCTGCGAAGAAGCTGGCGATGCCGTCAACATCATCCAAGGTTGCAACTTTGGAAATGTCTATCTGGTCAGCACCATTCTCTCGTAGTACCAAGAATGCCTTACATTGATCAGGCCTCACAATAACCACCGCGCCGATATCGGCATCTACGCCATACCTCTTGTATGCGTGGCCGTGGCCCGAGTTGTAGTGGTCGTCGTCGACGTATGACTTGTGTAAATCTGTATATTCATCAATATGGCTAGCTCCCACACGGTATCACTGCACGCACCTCGGATACTGTATTTCCCAGTTGGAGGCCAGAAGTAATCAGGTATCAGTTCTTGCTTGGTATCCTGGAACTTGCTGCTCATGACAAGAATTGGCTTCATGACGCTGTCAAGATGTTTTGGTGCTGGTGTGTGCTTTCGCGCAATCGCTTCGAGATATTTGGAGAGCTGTGTCACATTTAGTTGAAGAAGATACGGAATGCTGCAAACTTTACATACCTTTTGTACTCTGTTACGATACTCGGGCTGGTTGAGATCGCCGCCAAATACGACAATTCTCCAGCGCCCATCGCTCTTCATCACGCTCTGCAGCTGCACAGCTTTGCAATCACAGAAGCGTATAGCCTGCGCGTTAGGAAACCTCATGCCAACCGTCACAGCCTTTGCTGCGCTCTCCTGGGGCTCCACCGCCTGAGTAATCATCGTGTCCCTATACTTTGCCGTGAACCCCGCCGTATACCTCCCACTCTTCACAAAGTACTCTGCAAACTCGCCCTCGTAATTTTCCTTTCTGTTAAATAACTCGGTAAACTCCTTGTCGAAAGCGATAAGATCACCTGCCGTTTTAATCCGTTCAGGGACATATGTTTGGATTAGTGACGGAGGTGAGAGGCCAGTAAGAACGGATCCAAGCTTCCAGCCTATGTTGTATCCATCTTGAAGGGACACATTCATGCCCTGTCCAGCCTTTGGGGAATGAGTGTGACATGCGTCGCCGGTCAGGAAGACGCGGTTGTGGGCATGGAAAGCGGATGCGAGACGTTGACCAATGCTGTACGCGCTCCACCAGAATACGTCTGCGAATTCCATTGCATACGGCCCAAATATCTTCTTGCTTTGGCATTGCAAGTCTGCCAGCTTAACTGTCTTGGGTTGGATGCCAGCTGGAAGCTGAATGTAGAAGCGCACCATTTCGCCGCCCTCGCGAGGAATAATGACGAGGGCACCGAAATTGCTGTGAATCGTGCATTTGCGGCGGATATCCGGAAAGTTTGTGAGAGGGAAGATGTCCATAACACCCCAGACGGTGTCGGTCGTGTCTCCTAACATGGCGATGTCCAGGGCTTTGCGGGTGGTCGAGTGTGCGCCATCGCAACCAAGTACGTATTTTGCCTCCCATATTTCCTCATGTCCATCCTTCTCTGCAGTAACCTTGACGCAGTGCGCATCTGGTTTGTCAACCTTGCTCTCGTCAATCTCCAAGCCTTTGACAGCCCACCCGTATTCGATGCCGTTGCTCGCACCCTCTTTCCATCTTCCTTGCTCTTTCAGTATACTTTCCATCTTCCCTAACATCAGGCCGTTCATTCGCGCTTGGTTCAGAATGACATGGGGCAGATGACTCAAGCCCTTTTCCGTATCCATGGATCTGCTCTTCCGCTTGATACCGCCTTTTGCATTTGAATCATCTTCATCAACCCCCCAAAAGCACACTTCCAATATGTGGTAGCCTTCACGTAGGAGTTCTTCCGATAATCCGAACGATTCGTAGATCTCCACAGTCCGCACTTGCACGCCATCGGCTTGACCAATCTTGAGCGGCCCTGGGCGCTGCTCTAGCATCGTGAAGGGCACTCCGTAAATAGCAAGCCATGTGGCTGCAAAGATGCCGGCAGAGCCGGAACCGGCAATCAAGACATCTGTCTTTGGCATTGCTTACGGACCGTGCTGGCTAACTACAAGATTAGAGGACTCTGGTGGGTTTCAGATGGCGGAGAGTTGATGAAACGCTAGTGCTGACGAGAGACGAGGAGCACGGGTGAGATCGGTGATAAGCATGCATTGCGCAACATATTGAATGATATGTGAGATTTGGTGGCGTCATGATTGTGCCGAAAGCGAGGTCCGAAGTTGCATCGGCCATGGTGCGGGGACCAGAGTGCACGGTGCACTCGCGTGGCTTCATGGCTTAGTAAAACCCGGGGTAGAAGGCGCATCAAAGAACAGCGGATGAAAACATGTTGAAGAAAAGGAAAACTGCTTTTCATCAAATCTACAGTGAATGCTAGGGGATAATGCGCTTGGCATCGTCTGCTGGGTGTGCGGATCGCCCGCGCGGGACGGTTCCGTGCTGCACCGTCCAAAGCGCGAGCAAGGGCTATCAATGGGCCAATCAGGCACACGAGGGCTGGGACTAACTTTGGTATTCATATTACTATCTACAGCGCTATTTATGTCGTATTCCATTTGGGTAAGTGGCATGTCGTCAATGCTATCCAGACCAGCAATCCTCCCATGCTGTGACAGCGTCACGCGCACGTACCGTGGTTCTGCCACGGTGCATGCGAGCTTTTTGTCGAAGCATTTGTACGGCGCGCCCTCCGCGCCATGCTATCATGCCGTTAAAAATAAACATAATGCAAAACATACGTCATCCGAGGGTAAAGGGTCATAGTCATGCAGCAAGCTCAATGACCAACAACAGAGTAATGCGAGTTGCGCCCGTAAGGCTGTTGGTAGAGCGATGGGGTATAGTCGGAGTCTTGGTATATAGTACCGCGCTTGTCATCTTCCGGGTATGCCTCCTTGAGTTCCCAGTTGTGCTGCTTGACGCCGACAGAAAATTCGAGATCTTCGCGTGTGATGGAGTCCCAGTACTGTGTACATGTTAGCAGGCACGACTATGGAACGATGAAGGGGTTGCATACCTTGTAAACCATCATGACGGCGAGCAGGTTGCAGATGGTCGCAAAGAAAAGGCCATCCAGGTAGTGCTGCACGCCATCACAAATGGTGTCGCTGAAGACGTATAGGATGACCTGGCCAATGACGAAGAAGAAGATGCCGAACAAGATGTCGCCCAGAGGCCAGCGGTCCTCCAATGTTCCGACAACGAGAATGATCTGGCTGACAACGTAGATGAAGAGGCAGATGGCGTTGACAATGTACGTAACGACGAAGACGCCGATGGGGTTGCCAGGACTCAAGCCGGCCCAGCCCTTGAACGTCAGCAGGTTGACCGCGCCGCCAACGATGAACATGGTGAGCGAGCTGAGGCGCATCAGCCAGACCGAAAGTGTGGTGCCGTCTTCGTAGAGCTGGAAGCCGACGAAGCCGTTGATGAGCAGACATGTGCACAGCGCGGACACGAGGCCGTTCTGGGCGGCGACGAAGTATGGGTAGGTCGCGGAGCTGGGCGCCGTGACGCCGGCATCGAGGACGAACGAGACGATGGTGAGGAGCATGTAGATGTAGAAGAAGGTTGTGATTTCCTTGCGCCCTACGTGTGCGTTAGCGACGGCGCTCTGGCATGCGTGCATCGCGTCGCGCCGTACCGACAGCCGTGAACTTGGAGCGCACATGGATGATCATGACGACCGTCATGACCAGAGCCAGGATGTGCATGAAGTCGTTGGCCACCTCGAAAATGAGCGTGTTTGCGATTTCAATCGTGCGGGCAAAGCACCGCGTCTGGATGCCCACGCCATTGTTGATAGCCTGGTGGCCCACGACGGCGCACACGGGTATTGATGCCTTTTCGCAGATGGACTGAAAGTCGCCGAAGCCCATTGTCGCTGCGCTCGGAGGAAGCTGACCAAGGCTGGCGGCGGCTGGCGGCAGCAGGCGGCGATGGCTGGCGTCGCTCGGGGGGCGGCGGACTGGAGCTCAGGGGGGCGGAGCGGCGTGGAGGTTCGTGGAGGGCGCGGCGGTGCAGAGCGGGTGTATCGATAGCGAATGGAGGTGCAGACGCTTAACGAGTGAAGGTCCGCAGTAAACAGCGACGCAAGAAGCTGCTGTGGGGTGCTGCGACGGGGCCGGGGATGCGACGGGGCGGTTGTCAGGAGTGAATGCCCTGCTGCGCTTTCCCAGCCTCGGCTAGCGCCCACGCGAGAGCAATGCGGGACTAGCGCGTGTCTATTCTGGGATCGGCGCACCACCAACAGAACACAACAACAAGACACGCACGCCATGTCGCCATCAACAGGCCACGCGGCTGCGCCTCGGCTCATCTCAGCCTGGGTTACGAGGATGGGGGCGGCGTTGGCGGTTCGATCGCGCGCATGTGTGAAGGACGCAATCTCCCACGCACGCGCAACACTCTTGACATGCAAACTGCTTTGACACCTGCCAGATGACAAGCTGTCACCGCATCACGAAAACCCTGATCCCGCATGTGCGTCTTCGTCCTTGCATAATGCATGAGAACAGGATATCATGACATGGCTCGGGGCTGCTGGAGAAATGATGTCATTCGATGCCGAGTGAATGGAGTACACGTCGAGAAAGCATTGGGCCTCTTAATCCTTATCGCGCGGCCTTTCGCGATGAGAGACCATATAAAAACGTCTTGGTAGAATATGGGGCAAACTGGCCCAAGCGCTACTAGAAGGAAGTACTCTGGGGCGTTCTACATGCAAGCGCCAAACTATTTGGCGCTCTCACATTCACCCATGTCTTAGTGAATGCGACTTGACCCCCCAATCGCTCATAATTCGCTTCACCAGGTACCTGACAGCGGCCTTCAGAAAGAAATCACCACGCCTCTTCCCCATGGCTGAATTGTAGTATGACACCCAGTCTACGTACTCAACCCTACTGCCAGCACACTCCGCACGGCGTGCAAAACAACGCCCTCAGTCCATCCGTGCATCGCAAATGTCCGATCCACCAGACTCACTCCTCTGGTCTCAGTCTTCCAATGCAGCACTCGAAACACGGAACAGATGGAGAACGGAGAACCCGCTGCTCACCAACACCAGTCCAGCCACCCGTGCGCCATCTCCAGCGTCCAGCCCAACAACAACCACGGCACCCGCAGCCTCTTTGATACCGCGGCGTTTACCACCAACGGCACCTGGAATACCAAGTTTCGATTCGTCGCGTTTGTTCATGCCGCCCGTCGATTATGCTCTCGGGCACGCACCACAACACCAGTATCCGCCCACGAGCCACATCCCGAGCATGGCCCCGCACGCGCCATGCATCGAACCGTACATTCCCCAAATCTATCCCGAGCCACTCACTAGAATCAATCGTCACATGGTGTTTGATCGTGTCTTTCTTCTTCTCCGGGATAATTTAAGCGAGTGGTGGCATCAGAATCCTGCGGCGCTCTTCCACGTCACTGGTAACCCCCCATCCCTCTCACCATTCATCAAATTCTATTCCTGATGGACATTTGCAGAACGCATCATCGACAGTATCATCAGGCGTGGTCAAGCTGGAGCCTTTGGTCCCACTGGTCTCTCGTCTCTTACACAGATTTTCCTATGTATCGGCCACGAGGGTATCTACCATTACATGTGCCTTGCTGCACATTCAGGCTTTCACAGTATCCATGTTCTGCTTAAAGGCGATCTTTGCGCGATGGAACACAGGGACCCCATATTTTCTCCTGATTTGATGTCGTTGTGCAAGTTGGGTTTTAACCAAGCTGCTGCCAGGTTATATGCCGACATTTATGCTACAAGAAAGCACAGGAAATAGGCGTTGGCCGGAGATGAGTGGATCTTTGAAGTGAACAGACAGTATCAGAGACGCTGTGCTTGATCACAGGACCTGATATAATCGGGTGGTTGAGTATGTTTCCTCACTTTATTGGGTTCTTCAGGGTGATGGATTGATAACAGCATTAATTGCAGATGATGATGGAGTTCAATGGCACAAGTTCTTTATGACGTGCGAAAGGAATCACAGAATCGAATTTGTTATGAGTTGAAACAAGCTCTGATTTGATGACCCCAGTGCACGAGCCTATGAGGTGAAATTCACCAATTAATTTTTGTACGCTAATTCGGAAACCGCAGCAGCTACATACTACTGACCATAGCATATGGCTAAGGCATGTCACATCTAACACGCCTCGTTCAATGTAGCTTTAGCTGTGGATCATGGCTGAGTGTCTTATGATGTGTTCTCTGTACAGTGCACGAGCTTCAAAAAGTTCATATTGATTCGTACCATTAAGCTCTATGCTGTAAAGTGTTGGGGGGTGGGGGCGTTACGTGATATCATATTAGTCTACTCTCTTAGCCTACAACCACTATGGAGGCTGCCTGCTACCATAGAGGCTTCTCAAGCATACCCAAGCAGCTGTCCACCACGCTGAAGGCTTCTCGCTACCACCATGCAGAAGGCTACCTACCACTACATTGCAGTGAGTGAGCACCACAGAAGCTTCTCACCACCGCCTGGTTACTACCTATTACAATAGCTTTTGCTTGAGGTTCTACTTGGTATGATTATCAGAGACTATCCGCCTATGTCATGTATCTTGTTAGAAGTGGTGAATAGGAAAATCGAACAGCAGCTGACACGTCTTCAATCTCATTGCTCATTTACAGGACGACTGTTAAGACAAGGCCTAAAGTGACTGAGGCATTTGTTCTACAGTCACGAATTCCTTGAGGGGTATGGAAATTTGTCGGAGTTTGTCCTCGGACTAGTCTTGATGGTACATGAGTCGAGTGTCATCCTAATGAGTGATCTTGGTGTCTTTTTTAACAAGAGTCGCTGTAGTAGGCAGGTGCTCAAGAAATGATTGATAGGTTATGGTGGCTCGATGTGTCTAGATGTTTCAATCATAATCTTTCCTCCATGCTACAGTCACATATGCACTTTAGCGGTGTACTTATTACCCTAGATTATAAGTTAAAATGGGCCGTGTACCTACAGATTTTGCAAGGGAATCTCCATATCGGTGATATGACTCATTTTCCGCTATATTGCCCTAGAGTGGTGATACTTGGTGCCGACAGATTGTTTTTTTAAAACCAAGGTTGCACTTCAGTCACGCTGCTGCAGCTGCGCATATGACGTAACAACTATAGAAGATGAGACTGAGCCTACTTCCAGGTAATTCAGGGATACAGAAGGAAGCTCGAAGTGTAAAAGTTGAATCATCTCTCCTACTGTTATGCAATACATTACCTTGTAGGACTGTGCAGTCTTCATATAGAGATCGACCACTAATGATATCTATGTATCGTTAATCCATATAAATGACCCTGTTCTGGTATCACCTGTAAAGAATGTAGTAGCCGAGACACAGTTGCCGTTATTCTCAAAAGTGTCTCCTGCCAGATCCTTATATCTGGTATTTCCAAGAATCTATGAGGCTAAGTTGTAAAGTACCTACAATGAAGACCGAGCTTGTTGCAGCTTTAGCTGCAATATTAAAATCAGTCGTTGTGTTACGTTGTAGTCAAGTGTGTTAGCTTAGTCATTGTTTTCCTATAGGGGCTCAGAATGCAAGACTTTATTAGCAGAATTAATTTTGATTAGCTCTAAGAAGCTCTACTATAATTTGTTGCATGGGTGCTAAGATATTAGGAATCACCATCTTAGGTTAGTCTCGCTAAGCTCTTATTATATAATGAACGCTAAAACAGCTCGAACGCTAGAGAAGCTAGAGAAGCTAGAGAGAAGCCGGAGAAGCCGGAAAGCTGGAACGGCTAGAAAAACAGCTAAAGCTGCACCTCTTTTTAGCTCCGTCACGGGCTGTAGGAATGTTTATTGACCTTCTTTGTCATGCTTGTGGTGTAAGAGATAGATTAAAAGGACTTCATCTTGACATCGCACATTGTAGAAGGTTTTGAGAGTGTAAGAAATAGGTTTAACCATGAAGGATATCAGGATGCGGATATTGAGGCCCTTGCTACCCAGCTTTCAGGAATATTGTCTGAGGTGTTTAACGAAGAGAGGTAATCAAGAACATTTCAATTGCAGTTGATCTCTAAACTTGGCCTGAAGTCAATACGATGTAAGACCTATAAATTCGGGACTCTGTACGGCGTTGACGAAGTGATTGGATATAATCAAGATGTTGCTAATACGCTGATTACATGTATAGCTGATGGTGCACTATTGATGAAGAGAAAGTAGACGATGAGAAACTTAATCATTGTTCAGGTAACTGATAGTGGACAATCAGTCACATTACTGTGGCATGGTATGTCGAATTCCGGCGCCTGGCCCCTCCTTCAAGCTTATCATTTGTCATGCATTCCAATCCTGAACTGTCTGTTAGTGAGGATAAGAAACCGGTGATTGTTAACTATGTTGCATGTCGCTATAAAGATAAGACGTAATGAGGAAAGGGATAAAGGGGATGCTGATTGAGTTCAAGCCGTTCAATCAAGCAGCGGTTTCACGGGAAAGAGGGTTCTTGGATAGCTTCCCCGTCTAGAGCGTAAACGTTCCGGTTGATAGGAGCGTGGAATGGATTATGTGCATGTTATGTTATGTCTGTCTATGAACTTAGACAGTGGTAGAGCCATTTTAACATTTCGTGATCTATTTTTGAATGAATTCAAGAGGAGATCAATTGCTGTAAAACATTGGACAATATATCTATACACAAGAAATGTCGATTTCTATCAGAAGTGATACCCTTCCTCCTTCGTGACTCATTAGAAAGTAATATCTATACACAGGAACAAGATAAACAGAAAAAAACGATCTGAAGTCCAGATAGATGGGAGAGGATACATGATGGGGGAAACATCCATGTAGGGGGTATATTTCTAGATTTACTTCAAGGTTTAGACATTGATCAAGTGTAAGATTTCGGGAAATTTTTCATATACAATTCTGTGGGAAAATCCAGATAGAGGGGGGAAAAAAGTAGGAAATCTATACTTGCATTAGCGCCTTTAATGGAGTTTCTGTTAGGAACCACGTTCCTAGCGGTAAGAGGAGGCTTAGTTAAGGGCCCCTTATGTTACACGGGGGTCGGCTATACTTCTCTGATCTCGGTCCGGGTTAGGGCGAGTAGACTAAAGCGGTAGTCCGTGAGATTGTTTGCGAAGTGCTATGTGGAAAAGAGTTATAGGATTTAACCAAAAGAATAAACAATCAATTCTATACTAAGATAGAATAACTAGTATTAATCTGTGTAAGAGATGAACTATTCTAAAGTTGACCACAACGAGTGTAATAATGAAATCTAACCCATTCTTATACCCATTGCCTTAGGTCCTGCCATCCCGTCCATCCCATCTTCGTGTCCCTTGGCGGGATGGTTGGGATGGCCTGCCATCCCATGTCCTGCTGCCATCCCCATCTTGGCGGGATGTCCTGTCTTGGCGGGATGGCACATCACGTGACTCCAAGCCCCGCGATAGCTATTACCTTCTGACGTGGACGTGGTTGGCCTCCAACCCCGTCATCCTGCGTCAAGGAGAGAATCCTTCTTATTACGAGTAACATTATCCTCCCTCTTAGGCGTATCGTCCTAATACCCTAGAATATCATTTTGCTATGCTGCGTGTTAAAGCGCTAGCTGCATATAAGGTTAGTAGGCCCTAGGCCATTATATTCGTCCCTTTTCTCTAGCCTTCCTAACTATGCCTAAGGTCCTGTCTTCCTATACCCGTGTTCGCGCTTAAAAGTCGAACGAAGAGCGTTATTCCCGTGCTGATCGTGTAATAGAGTAGGGGAACAAGATGACCGTTTATTGCTGTTCTTGTTGTGAAGAGAAGAACCTTTATTGTTTCGTGGACACTGCTACTAGGCGTTGCGCTAGTTGTATTTCCGTGAAAGCTAAGTGCAGTCTATTTGTTTCTAAGGAAGAGTGGGAGAAAGTGCAATAGGAGCGCTAGTAGAAGGAGCTTGAGGTCGCTCGTTTAAGGGCTCAGCGCGCTCAGCTAGATGCGCAGTTGTCCTAGCAAGAGGTGGCGCTTTTAGAGGTGAAGTCCTGAGAGCGTTCCTTCGCTCGTCGCGATCTTGCTGTCCTTGAGTTCTAGGATCGTGCGAAAGAGAAAGTCGAGGGGAGTTCTGCCCCTAGTACGGACCTTCTATCAGCTAGACCTTCGCTACCCGCACAGTCGACTGACCTAGGCTAGTTATAGGCTAATTCTTCTTCTTTTAATCCTTTATCCCTTAACTTCTTCCTTTCCTACACGAATCTGGTTCTCGCTTCTATAGATGCTTCTAATAGTACTCACGTACTAGTGACTTATAGTTCGTTAGGTTTCCTTTAGGTTCCCAAGTGTTATAGCTCTTAGGCCATCCTTACTACTTAACTAAGTACTTCTACTAACTACTGATTTTCCGTAGGTCCTTAACTTCCTTGACCTCGTACTTATCGTCTTCGAGCTCTATATCTGTTGCTAGCTTAGCGTCTAGAGGTGCTCTTTCTAGTAGTTTCTTATAAAAGATAGGGTGGATTCGCATGCCTAGTAGGAGTTTTAACTTGTAATTTACTTTCCTAACTTCCTCTAGGATCTTAAATAGTTCTACTTAGAGGTTATCTAATTTTCTGCATAGTCGTTTAGTTTTTAGGTTTTGTCTTAACAAGAAAACTTTATCCTTGTAAGGGGCTGCGCTTCGGGGAGCAATCGCGAGGTATACAAGAGGTTGTATTCGATAAGGAGCTATCTACTCTGCTTACGTGGTGTTTATTTACTTATCGGAGAAAGGTTATGCCGGAGTATCTGAGCGCGTTGTCTGAGCGCTGCTCGGTCTGAACGTAGTTCAGATGGTGC